CATAAGGCATCCTTCCTAGATCCTTAGCCCTAATCTAGCATGCAGTTCTCATAAGCATATCATAACATAAACTTGTATGGGGAATTTGGGAGTACTTACTTGAGCTCGGCTGATTGCATGCACCACACCCTTTTCTCTTTTCAAAGTTCTTTTTCTCTTTTCAAAATTCTTTTTATAAAAATGATTTTCTTTTGAAAAATTTCATACCAAGTCCTCGGTTTGAGTTCAGACACACCCGAGAGTGTGCCCGAATCCCTCAAACCAAGGCTCTGATACCAACTTGAAACATCCCAAAATTCTAGACCAAAAATTTCGTTTTAAACCATTTAATAAACCATAATTATCAAAACATTTCATCAAAATATAAGTCAAAATATTTCAAAACATTATCAGAGTGTCATATCAAAACATCAGAGTAAACATCCCAGGCTAAATCATCGTGGTGTGTGCAATGCAGTCGTCCCGAGTTCTTCCCTCTGCTACTAGAAGTACCTGAAACCAAAACTGAAAACCATAAGCACGAAGCTTAGTGAGTCTCCCCAAAGTACCACATACCATACACATAATCACATAACAACATACATTAGGCCTAGCCCACTACATCGGGCCCCGCCCGGCATCGGACGAATCCGGCATCAGGCCCTGCCTGGCATCGAGCCCCGCTCGGTATACATATTTGTTTCTACCAGGCCCCACCTGTCTCTGGGCCCCGCCCGCTATACACATACAACATATAATCATAATCATGCTAGTACATAACAGACAAACTCAACAATATAACTGATAGTCTCAACGCCCCGCCTATCTTGGGCCCCGCCCCTACTATGCTAATAATGAGATATGGAACCCAGTCCACACTCAACTAGTGATGAGATATGGGCCCCCGCCCCCGCCCACACTCACCTCCCTACCAGGCACATACAAGTATAACAAAGACAACGAGTATAACTAAACATGCATTCCTTCCTCGGGTACCACCCGACATCGAAACCGTAGTTCGGAAATATACATTAAACCTTCCTCGGGCCTCGCCCGACATCAGACTGTAATCCGTAAGCATATAAACTACATCGGGCTAATCCCGTCATCAGATCTAAATCCGGTATACACTAACATACATAAAACGGGCCGACATTGGTGCCTTAGACCCGTTCCTACAGGAGAAAACTCACGTCACAAGCTGACTGTAGAATCCTGCGAATAATCCTCACGCTGCTAGCTGGCAGATCCCCAAACCGCTGATCTCTCGACTCCCCGAGCTACCATTACCCAAAATAACAATTAGTGGCCCACTAATGGCCCAATTTTCTAAATTGAGCCCAATCCCTCTAATAGGCCTTACACTAAGCCCAAACATATTCTTGGCCCAATTTATCTGACTTCTGATGGCCCACTAAGGCCCAAAGAACTAAAATCCAATGTATGGCCCAATCCGAGGCCCAAAACACGCCAAGCCCATATCTGATGAGTAACTCCTCTGTACGCTAAGCGTACATGCTGCATGGTGTGTACGTTGCGCGTACCTGCATGTACGCCCAACATACATCTCTGTTAAGTTACTTTTCCCATTAATCACTTAATACTCTATTCCAAAGGCTATAATCACAGATCCAAGTCCTCTTCATCGTCTTAATCCATAAAGTCACTGACTTGGTGACTTTACATGACCCTAATAAGCCCAAACTTCCAAAATGGCATTCTATTTTCATAAAAGTGATCTTAACCGATGCATGAACCCAATAAGACATCCAAGATGGCAACTTTCTGCCTTAGGGGCTCATTTGGCACTGAGAGTGGCAACTCTAAGCCTAGGAATCAGATTTGAACCAAAAAGCTCTAATCTTGGGACCAAAAAGGTCCAAAACATCACTATACTAGATCTAAGCTTACTTGAGGAAAGTTCAAGGCTTTATACCTTAAGATGATCTGAAATGGAACAACAATCTCGGATCTACAGCTTCTCCTTTGAACCACCACCTTGCTTTGCTTGGAAAATGGCTTCACAACACCAAATTGCTCTCTAAAGGCCTTCTAAGCTCAAAGAACACTCAAGGAAGGATTAGGGTTTCGTGGTGGCTGTCTAAGAATGAAATGGAGGCTGACCATTGAGGCATGTTATTCCTTTTATAGTGGAACACCCTAAAATTTAGGGTTTAAGTCTGAATGTAGTATGCCTCACGTACCTCTATGTACGCCCGACGTACTCACAAACCACCCACGTCCAATTTACTCCTCTACGTTGGGCGTACTTTTGCGCCTATCACCTTGCATGCATGGTACCTTCTTGCCATCTTTCTCCATTAGGGACCAATAATGCCAATAACTTCAAAGTGTTATAACTTCTTCATTTTAAGTTCGTTTCCGACGAACTTTATATGCACGAAAAGGTGGCGGGAAGCCCTACGCTCCCAGCTACACCCCAAGCCTAAAACCTTCCGAATAAAACCCGAGACCCATAAAAGACCGAATCGTCACATTACGCCTATACCCTTGTCCTCCAAAGCCCCAACCGAGTACTTTCAAAGCTGGGTGTTACAAAATGACCACATGCCTTGATCACATATGTAATCGTATACTTATTTGGACAAGTTTTGTGTCCTAACATCTTGAAATAGACTAAGACTAAAAGTCGCAACACCCCATTATTGTGGACCCTGTAATCATCCAATTCCATGGCGATACGTACAACAGATCAAGTTAGCTAAAAATTGTGTTCGCATCAATGGATTTCCAACAAAGTATACAACTTTCAAGTAATCTTGAATCCAAAAGACCCACATGGTTGATCCCGTTGACGATTATTTGGGCATGAAGTTCTTGGCTTGTTGAATGACTTGAGGATCTGGATTAGGGGGGTAAACAAGATTGCAAGACTGGTGCAAGTTTGGATATTAAATCTTCCTTTGGTAAATGTCCTATTTGTTAAAAAAACTTATGCATTTTATTGATGCATAGTTCGTTGTGTATGATTTCATCAAATTTTGGTCTAACCCAGTTTCCTATAAACCACGTATTTAACTCCGACACATGAAGAAAAGAGCAATATTTATGTATCATCCAGGAAAATGAAAAAAAAAAGTATAAATCTTACAGCAAATAGGCATCCGACATATCCAAGTTTCCCGTGCTCATCATCTCAATAGTGCATTGAAGAAGAACCAGAGGAATGCAGCAACAAAGAAACCGATAATGATACTTCAGGAGAATAAAATATCAAAAATCAAATCGATGTTAAACCATTTTGACAATAATAATTTACTAAACATGGATAATAGTATAGTAAGAAGTCGCTTCTCAAAATGACAACTTACAAGAGGCATAAACGACAGCAAAGATGAGGTCCTCTCATGGCCATTGGTCTTCCTTCAGCAACTGCATAAACTGAAGCATCATATAGAATGTTAATAAATCTTCAAATAAGCTTTCATGACAACTTTAATGTCAATGTTGTGGACAAGGGTTCATTTTTTTGTTTTCCAGAGAGATCTTTTTGCCTATTATCATGCCTCCTCCCAATCCTTGTTTTTAACTCATAAAGGGATCAAACGTCAATGTCTATAAAGAGTTGATCTATATACGATGATTATCCTTGTGGGAATTGGGTTATATTGTTGCCGTTGTTGTTTCTAGAAATTAATGGTGATTATAACTTCGCCAGCTCGAGAGAATTAGACTGACTCGGTTCACTTCCGAGTATGAACACCAAGCTGTCTCATGGTCCCATTCACTTCCGTGCTCCTTCGAAGATCATGTGGCGTACCATCCGAGGTCAGGTGGCGAAGGTGGAGACGCTGAGAACAGTGAAGATGCACACACCTAAATTAGAAATTAAATGGAGAAGATGATGGTAAATTCCAAATATAGCTTAAAGGAATCTATTACCTGGATGAGAAAATGGAGAAGATGATGGCAATTTCCAGATCTGCTCAGCATCTGGTCAAGAAACAAAAAGACTCGTCAACACCGTTAAAGATGCATAACATTGCTACCACATGGTGGTGGCCAGCATCGATGAGTGGTGGCGGGGATGGACAGCAAGTTAGGGTAGAGAGAGGGATAGTGACAGATGAGAAAGAGATCAATTCAGAAATTACCCTGAAAGCACCAAATCAATCATCAATTGTTAAACGTAAACCACTTTCAAGTAAATAGAGATGCAGAGAAAGAGAGAGATAGACGAAACAGAAGGCGGTGATGGAAGTAACTCACTGTTCGAGATCGAGCGAGAGAGAGAGAGAGAGAGAGAGAGAGAGAGAGAGAGAGAGAGAGAGAGAGAGAGAGAGAGAGAGAGAGAGAGAGAGAGGCGAGAGAGAGAAAGAGATGCGAGAGAGATCACTGCATCTTTGGTGGGGGAAGTCGGCAGCCGTGGACCTTCGGTGGGAGACGTTGGTGGAGATCACTGCATCTTTGGTGGAGACGATGAGAATTGGTTTGATGGCGGCTGTGTTTAGGAGATTAGGGTAAGATCCGTGTAGTGTGTAGTGTAATACGTATATGATTCGTGTAGTGTAATACGTATAAGATTGGTTATATGCTTAATATTATTGTACATGAGGTAATATATGTTGTACCTCTTAATTTTCAAGAAATAGGCAATATCCTTAATAATATAGTAAAGATAAAGATATATATATATATATATATATATATATATATAGTTTTATTCGATTAATAGAAATTAAGTTAGTAAACAATATTTTGCAGAACGATAATTTCACCTTTATTTATTAGTTAATTTTGTGTAGATATGTGTTAGTATAATTAATTATTATTATTATTGTTAGAAGCTCAATTAAATAATATATCAATTAAATATGTCTTAAAAAGACGTTAGTCGATATGTTTTGCGAGTGGAAATTTGAAAATAGGAAGTGACGGTGGGGTAGGGATCAGGAATGGGCGGCGGGGTACAGGAGCGGGGGACATGTGGGAGGAATCAACAGGACTTAAAACTAAATAATGTGAACAACTTAAAAAGTGTGAGTCCTTTTTGGTAAAATCCACATCTTTCTAGAGTTTGTGACCCGTCTGTCGCTACACCGTTGCTTCTTCCTTTAATTAAACGGTTTTATTTTAGGGTTTCTGTTGTGTAGTAGAATGGTCATGGCCGGTGGAGTGGTTCGTGTTTAAAGTAGATTGGAAGGAGGTGGTGGCGACTTCAAATCGACATCAACTTGAGATCACCAGTTGAATCTCCGATTCCATTAGTCCTAACCGCAATCACACCTCCAATCGCTCCAATCCCTGTACTCCCTCCTCCGCCTCCCTCAATCCCATGTCCGGTTGCCCCTCTTCCCTCTATTCGTCCACCAAATGGCGACGCTGCAAAGACCACAAATAAAACGACGATAACGACCAAGAGGGTAACGAACCAGATTCTGAATACGAAATCTCAGAAGAGATCAGCTTATTTAGAGAGAAACTGGAGAAAGCAAAACAAGATTTCTTAATGAAGCAACGCCAACAGTGCCCACCAAGGTTTTTTTCGGTGTTCCTTTTCTTCTGATTGAAAGTTTCTTGCGACCTGGTATGTCTCTTTTCTATCTAATATTTATCATCACTAAATTTATCTTTTGGTTTTATGCGTAGTTTTCCTGTAGACCTATTATCGCTATCACAGATAAAACAACAACAGCATCAAGAGCTTGTGAGCCAGTATAGGACAACTCTAGCGGAGCTGACTTTCAATTCCAAACGAATCACGACGAACTTGACTATCATCGCCAGAAAAAACGTCGAAGCTGCTAAAGCTATTGCTGCTACTATCTGCAATAACATTGTCGAGGTGATGATTCCAGTTACATGATGTCCAATAGAGATGTGGTTTAATTAAACATTAGTTTCTTAATTAAACCTATTTATTAACTAAAAGCCCATTATTCCCTAAGTCTGAAGTCACAAACACACGAGTAGAATTTGATTCCATCAAGTAGTGATATATGTAGGAAAAACATTCTAATATGATGCATGATAAGAATAATGTATTCAGCATGTTGGATTTGCAGCAAAAAGCATTGGAAGCTGCAATGAATGATATCAACAACTCATTCGGGAAAGGAAGTGTCACAAGACTTGGAAGCCTTGGTGGAGCTCTTGTGTATGTTCTTATTTAGGACAAAAGACATAAATGCCCTCCAAAAAAAACAGTGTAAAAGCTTTTGAAATTTGAACCGAAAACGAGAACACATTGCAATCTTAATCTTGTATAAATCAGAATTATTTATGGAAATGAGTTTATGGCTTTTACAGTGAAACATTCCCAAGTGGCTGTCTTCCTTTAGACCTTGCATTAGGTGGTGGCCTACCTAAAGGAAGAATTGTAGAGGTATTCATTTTGTTTTCTAATTTTCTTTTAGAATCTGATAATATATTAATATTAATATTAATATTCTGTGTTTTGGGTTTTAGATTTATGGGCCTGAAAGTAGTGGAAAGACCACCTTAGCACTACACGCCATTGCAGAAGTGCAGGTCGTTTTTTACTTGTAAACTTTATTTTTTTTTTCTTTAAAAAAAATGAATATTTTTCTAGAATTTTTATGAATGATTCAGAAGCTAGGAGGAAATGCAATGCTTGTAGATGCAGAACATGATTTTGATCCATCATATTCCAAAGCATTAGAAGTTGATGTGGAAAATCTTATTGTTTGCCAATCAGACAATGGAGAAATGGCACTAGAAAGTACTAAATAAACCCCTTTTAAATAAACCCTAATTTCTCAATTTTATTTTATTAATTAATAAAAACTTTTTAATTTTCTTCCTTCAGTTGCAGACCACATGTGTAGATCTGGTGCAGTTGATCTCATTTGCATTGACTCTGTCTCAGCTCTTACTCCACGTGCTGAGATTGAAGTAACCATCTATCTCCATACTTTTGTACTTATACATATTTACATTTTTAACCTTGCTTTTATCTTATCCCCAACCTATTTTCTTTATGGGTTCAGACTTCAAATTGATATGTAACGAGTAGAATTATAAAAATATCATGAATTTTACAAGTAAAAAGGATGTGGATGTGCACTTTAACTATTATTTCATAAATTGATGACATTAGTTTAGACCCATATTATTTAAAGTTTCTTACTATTTTATTTATATTATGATTTATGAAGGGCGAAATTGGAATGCAACAAATGGGTTTACAAGCACGGCTTATGAGTCAAGCATTGCGTAAAATGTCAGGGAATGCATCAAAAGCTGGATGCACAGTTATCTTTCTTAATCAAATCAGATACAAGGTCTCTCCACTTTAATCTTTCTTTCATTAAATAATCAAGATTTTATGTTATTTTTTCTTTTTAATTATAAAATTGAAAAAATAAATCAGATTGGAGTATATTATGGAAATCCAGAAGTTACAAGTGGAGTTATTGCCTTGAAGTTTTGTGCATCTGTTCGACTTGAAATACGGCCTATAGGAAAGATAAAGTCTGTAAGTAAGCACATAGATAAATTTTTTTAATACCATTTTCATTTTAAATTTCTTTTTTTAATGAGTTTGACTTTTCCACAGGTTAAAGGTGATGAGAACATTGGGCTTAAGGTTCGAGTAAGAGTTCAGAAGAGTAAGGTAAATAATATCTATTTTTCTGCACTTTTTGTATATTAAAAACAAAATTTTCATTTTTTAAATATGTTGTGTAGGTTTGTAGGCCATACAAGCAAGCAGAGTTTGAAATTATATTTGGAGAGGGAGCAAGCAAATTGGTTAGTTTCATCTTCATCTTTTTTATTTTGCACAATTTTTATTAAATTTATTATATTTATATATACAGGGATGCGTATTAGATTGTGCTGAAATGATGGACATTGTGTTAAAAAAGGGCTCTTGGTATAGTTCTACTTAACCTCAAATGCCTTACTTTTTCTACCAATATTAGCAATTTACATTTTTACCCATAAAATGGTTACAAATTTCAGGTTCAATATTGTTATTTTTGTAAAGACATATAAGTACATTGCTTATATTGGTAAAAAGAGTAAAGTAGATAGCTATTTCCTGCAATTTTTAGGTTCGAGCTGGAATAGTTGGTTACCCAAATGTTGGAAAGTCTTCTTTGATCAATCGTCTACTGAAGCGTCGTATGTGCCCAACTGCTCCAAGACCAGGTGTAACACGATCGTTAAAGTACGTTGCTTAAATATTTAAAATATAACGTCCTAATAACAAAGAGAATTTTAAAATAAAATGCTATACATGCTATATTTTTCATAATATAATAATAAAATAATAAACTTTTTTTAAAGCAGGATACTATAATAAAGAAAATAGTAAAAGTATGTTGCTATTAGAAGCTAAATTTGAATCTGTTATTGCAGCCGACTGAAGTCCCACTTGTAAACTTTAATATACAGTTTCTTTACGAAAGATAAGGATCAGACTTCTGTAATTCAACATTTTTCTTTATTTTCAGTTGATTAGTTACAGATCAACATTTATAATCTATCCTACCTACAAACTTTCTCAACAACAATGTATACACTATTCTTAATAATGTCCAACTTTATTTATGTTGACATTTGTTGCTATCTGCTCTCCGTTAAAATTATTGTTGCATTTTGACTTCTTTCAAACTGAAGTCAAGGAAACCATGTTATCAGTCAAAAGTCACAAAATAGAAATTTATCAACATTTAAGCAAACCTGTCTAACCCAGTGCCAACGGCGCAAGTAATTCCTTCTAGTTTTAATAGTTTTATGGATAAATTATAAGTGAAAATGTTTTTGGACAAGCTCCCTAGACAAGCTCCCTACTAGACATAATTTGTCTTTGAAAGGGTTGGGTATTCAATCGATCATGTGCCCGATTTGTAAGTGGAGTAGAATCAATGCATCACGTGTTCTTTTTCTGCTCGGATGCTAAAGCAGTTTTGGATAAAATTTTGAAATGGTGGGGATCGGAGGATCATGATTTTAGTTCGACCATCGATTGGGTAGATTGGGTTGAGAATGTTAGTTAGATTAAGGAAGAAGTTTACATATGTTTTGGAAGGAATGTTCTTTATTGTTTGGTAGTTTTTATGGATGTTTCGAAATAAGAGCATCTTTGGTTATCGAACAACCAAAGAAGTGTCATATTTTTTAGACAAAACTTCAAAAATGGTCCTTGTGATTTTCGAAAATCTGAAGTTTAGTCCCTAATCTTTAAAAACCTCACAGATGGTCCTTGTGGTTTCAAAACTTTTAACAAATGGTCCTTTTCGCTAACTCCGTTAGCATTTAACCGTTAAGTGAAGGGCATTTCTATTATTTCACAACCATAGGGACCATTTATGATGTTTTGCCTTATTTTAAAAAAAAAAGAAAAAAATATAATTATTTAATGGCCCCACCCTCTCTCTCTCTCTCATTTCAAAAACACAGGGACCATTTATGATGTTTTGCCTTATTTTAAAAAAAAAGAAAAAAATATAATTATTTAATGGGCCCCACCCTCTCTCTCTCATTCTCCTTCTCTCTCTCTCTCTCTCTCTCTCTCTCTCTCTGTCTCTCTCTCTCTCTCAACCCTCGATCAGATCCTAAAAGGCACCACCACCCGGAATTCCTTAGCCGCCTCTGTCATCCACACAAGAAATAATCGTGACTGAGATCTCTCATTCCTTCCTACCGTTGTCGCATCGCCTCTAGACGGTGTCACCTCCTTCCTCGACTTCTCGATTCTGCCTTCTAATCTAGATTCATGATGTGGAATTTGCGAGTCTTCAATCAAATCTTCAACTATCATTATCAAGCTTCTACTACTACTGCTCATCATCGATTCAATCCTAGTCTCGAAAATTGAGATTTCATGTTGTGGAATTCGTGAGTAATTCACTCAATTTGGAAGATCTGGTTAATTTGATCCCTATATCTTATTGTATTCCTTCCACTTTGATCGATCACTCCACTCTGTGAATCTACACTTGATGAAGCAACCGATCATTCAATCAATCGTTTCTTTTTCTTGATTAGAAATCTGATGATATGATTACCTTCACTTCGATTCAAGGAACCGATTGAAGATCTGGGAGATGCCGATGAGGTAAGTTATCGAAGTTCTTTTGATTTCTGAAATATTCTGTCTGCTGCTATTTTTTATTACGTTGCTAACAGAACGCCGACAACATTATGCAAAACTTGAGTTAAACCTCAAATCATATTTACAAGGTTGTATTTACAGGTTACAACTATTAGGGGATGGGGTCATCGTCTTCATCAATCCGAGAAGGGAAAAAAACACACAGGAAGCAGAAAAGGTTTGGTGTGGAAGATCTGTTGCCGAGACTGGTGATCCCGTTTTTCCAACGAGTTCGTTTCTTCCTTAGTATTTAACCCAACAATGGGACTGTGGGAACAGAGGGAAGACATCAATGACCAAGGGAGGGTGCTACGCGACGATGGTGAGCTCGAAGGGTGGTATGGGAGGTCGGAGTTGGTTGTAATCACGAAGGGAAGAGCTGGGGGTGAGGTAGGCTACTACACCGTCGGGATGGAGGCAACCTCTTCTTGGTCGGTGGTGAAAAAAACGGGAAGGGAAGAGAGAAGTGGGGGGGGGGGAGAGAGAGAGAGAGAGAGAGAGGTGGGGCCATTTAATATTAAATAATTATATTTTTTTCTTTTTTTTTAAATAAGGCAAAACATCATAAATGGTCCCTGTGGTTGTGAAATGACAGAAATGCCATTCACTTAACGGTTAAATGCTAACGGAGTTAGCAAAAAGGACCATTTGTTCAAAGTTTTGAAACCACAAGGACCATCTGTGAGGTTTTTTAAAGATTAGGGACTAAACTTCATATTTTCGAAAACCACAAGGACTATTTTTGAAGTTTTGTCTATTTTTTATAACATTGTTTTTCATTCTTTTGTAACATCCCAAAGTTTAAGACCAAAAATTTCATTTTTCATTTAATCATTCATAAAACAATTTATAGGAAACATCATCAAGTTATTTCATTTCATAAAAGCCATAAATCATAAGTCTCAAAAGCATGTCATAAGATAGTAATAATGTCAGAGTACAAATCCCCAAAATCTCATATGCGGAAGGATGTGTGTGTGATGCGCTGCTACCGTGCCGACTCCTTTCCCTTCGAAGAAGAAGGACCTGAAACAAAAACTGAAAACCATAAGCACAAAGCTTAGTGAGTTCCCCCATCATACCACATACCATATAAACACATAATGCCTAGCATATCTGGGTGCTGGCCTCCCATTCGGTATCTTTCAATCGGTAACTGCCTAGCATACCTGGGTGCTGACCTCCCCTTAGGTATCTTTCAACCGGTAACTGCCTAGCATATCTGGGTGCTGGCCTCCCCTTCGGTATCTTTCAACCAGTAATTGGGGACTATTTCACCCCTACCACTACCACATAATAACATGACATACTAGCACATAAAGCATAACAAATAGTGGCATACCAGAAAATTATGACAAAGACAATCATCTCAACTATAATCAATACTAGTGGGCCGACATTGGTGCCTTCGACCCACTCCTACTGAAAGGTAACTCACCTCGAATGCCGTGTAGTAGCTGTACCGTCCTCAGCTCTAGGATCAACTCCTCTCAAACTCCTCAAATGAACTGGAAATGAAGTTCTTCTTCTGGATCCAAAGCTCCTTCCTTCAACCAAGCACTTCTAGCTTCCACTCTTTCAAGAAAATACCAAAGAATCACTCCTTTTTCACTCACGCACACTCACAAAGCTCAAGATCACGAATTAGGGTTTGCTGGACTAAGGGAGGCGATGAGGGAGTTCACAATGGGGGTGTTAAGGTCTTTAAATAGGGTGCAAACCCTGAAATTTAGGGTTTCACTCTGGCAACCATACTCGTCGAGTCGAGACTTCTCGACTCGTCGAGTAGACTTCAAGTCCCGCGTCCAAAAATCCCATTCCTACTCGACGAGTTTGGGGCCTCCAACTCGTCCAGTCCCTTCACAAAAATTACTAATTTAATTTAAAATACATATCAGGATCCGGGCGTTACATCTTTCCTTTGGTGTTCTAATAGGTCCAAATTGTCTTTTGATTGGATGTTGTGGCTCCAAAGCCCAACTCTTGCTTTCTTGTAATGGTTTAGACCTTCTTCTTGTGCTATCTTCTTGTTACTCTTTATTTGATTTTATATATTTGTCGTTTCTAAAAAAAATGCGAGTGACAAGTTATATGTAAGTAGGGGAAGTTTCTCGCGCCTTTGGCGCGAGTTGCAGGGAGGTTTTCAGTTGTAAGGTACATCGACAATGAGCTACAAGGAAAACGATAATACTTTACTATATGTCAAAGTAGTACATTGATATTAATGGCTTTAATTTACTTTTAGATAGGCCGGATTGGAAAACATGTATGTATATAAAACAGAGTACAAAACTTGTTATTTATTTAGATGAGTTTCATACAGTGGTTGGAATAAGTGAGTAATGCAAAAAAGCAAATATGCATACTACTTTGATGTTCATCGGAGAGTCAGATGACATGCAAACAAAAAAGGATGCTACTTTCAACCTAGTTAGCACATTCTTCATTATCTTTTTGTAACCTGTGATTGCATCTTTGATTTCGGCTTAATTTTTCTCGTAAGCCTTATTGAAAGGAAGTGTGGTTTTAATATTGAATATGTCTGCATGTCTTTTTTTTTTTTACTTTAGTTTGGTCTGATCGACAATAATTCTTTTGTCAAAGATGAGTTCTGACTTTATGATGGAAGTAGCATATGAACCTTATATGGAGGTATGAATTACTATCTCAAATTTTTTTTGGGAGGACTAAAAATTGAATGATGAATAAAAAATGTTTTCTACTTACTTTGTTTTATTCCAAAAGGGAACAATTTTTATAATATAAGTTGTATAAAGTGTGAGCATGAACCTACTAAAAGGTCATTTTTTATAGTCACATTAACTTACATAACATATCTACAGATGCAGAGGATTTACTTGTTATAGTTCGGATATTACACACGGATATTTGATATACAAAAGCTATTAGAGTTTGGAAGTCATAGTAAATATTAGGAAACACAAAAGGTGACATAAAGGAGTTGTCATGAATGAAATTGACATTTTGGTTGTAACATCGATTCTTCTACATCTATAAGTCAAGAAAAAAAGAAAGAATCAGTTGTTTTGTGGATGTACGTGTAATGTGAGTAATGTGGTTTACTAGTCTTATTAAATGTTAAAGCCCTTCTAACTTTGGAAGGTTCAGGTTTCGATGATGATGTGCTTGTCTAGTCCGTTGGGTCTGAGGGTAATAAAATGTATGTGGGAGGTGTTGTCAAAGCTGGAGGTTGTTGAACCACATTGTCTTCAACGTCAGTTATCATGAAGCGAATGTTGTTACGCGTGGATGTTTTCGTCATACGCACTGTCATTCTGATTGGCAAACTTTTACTTTTCTCAGATAGCAATGGCATTGTTTTCTGATGATTAGGATTGTCTTCTGTTATCAATTCATCCGATCGTGCTCCTAACAGCTTTTGTGCAGCATTGTCGGATAGTATGACGTTCATAGAGTCGGTATGGTCAGCTATTGTTGCTACAAGTTTGAATCTATAGATATAAATAATTTTAGGTTGTATAAAATTTATAATCATAATAATTGTGTTATGTGGATACAATAACTTACATTGAACTTACATTGTGTTATGACGTTCATAGAGTCGGTCTTTCCTTGTTTGAAAGTTGGTGTTTTGCAATCAGGACAGATTACCTAATACCAAGTGTCTGTAAAACGTGAAGTCCATCACAGATGTGTTGATAGTGAATGTCTTTTCCTACAATAGGTTATTTGTGTTATGTTGGTTGCTTAGACAGTGATTGCTCGATGTGTTAAATAAATCAGATAACTCGATGTGTTAAATAAATCAGATAAATGAAGGTTTGAGTAGGTAGTGTTAGAATGAGACGATATCAGAAGTTCAGAATGGGTTTTTCGAATCATGTCGTGCAATGATATAGTTGGTCCAAATATGGTTTTTGAAGTTGGATTTGTTTTGTGTCTATAAGCAATTTATTCATTAGAACTAATGCAAATAACATTCTTATGTATCAACTTTTATGTATTATCTCTCGAGAAGTGCGGTTATGTCTCCGATAGGTGGATTGATGTACACGTGACTCGCACTTGTTCCTAGTCTTAGTGTACATGAAAATAAGATTATTGTAATTGTTTTAGATTTTGTTTCTTTACTTATAATTGTTTTATGAGTGTCTATACGTGAAGATGTTTTGATGGGGACGTACCGGCAACATGTGTAACTTTAACATTTGTTACAGCAAGTACAACTGGACTGGGTGCATTTTCAATAGCATAACGATTGAACCTTTCAGGTATGTCTATGCATTCTTTCCATAAGCTGATAACAATTTCTTCACCACTAGAATTCAAGTGCGTTAGGTATAACAAATGAGAATACAAATGTATTTGAAAAAGTCAGTTGCTTACGAATCGTTTGAGAGGATAAGAATGGTGAATGGTTGACCGTCTTTTTTGGTACAGTTCACAAATTTGACAAATATTCCTAGATAGTTTGCATAATGAATGGTGTAAAACAGAGTTTGCAGTTATAGATGTGCAATAATTATGTGGATTCAAATATGACTGGTATGAGTTAGTTAAGAAGGTTAGATAAGGTATTAATAGGGATTAATACATGGACATAGGTTGACATAGTCGGGTATTTTATTTTTTGATATAAAATAGAACCAATAATTGGGAATGGTGATTGTGTCAGGAATTTATCTGATAGATAAAGCTGTACCAACAGCAATGAATATTGGTTTGTCCAACCACTTTTGGTAAGAATCCGGTTCACCGCAACCATATTTAGAAATTGCATAACACTTTGAGATAGTGAACACAGATTGCACATATCCTTGATCTTTTCGTTGTCCAAGAATCTGAATAGCATCACCCTTAAATGTGGAAAAATATTATGAAGGACTTTATTATGTGTATGCAATAAATAAAGTTTAATAACAATGTGTGCAAACTTACATATTTGTCGACATCCAAAAACCAAGTCTCGTAAGTCCGATATTCTGGTGTCCAGGTACGTAAGATTCGTACATGTAGTTATGTTCCAGGAGATGCATGGCCTAATTATGAAATTGTTGTTGTATTCTCAGACATGGTTTTGACCTCACAGTGAAATTACTGAGAAATGTTAGTAACGATTTTTAGAAATGATAAGTACTTGTGGTTTGGAATTGTTAAATGAGTAAAACTAAGGCAATGGATGTCCCTCATCTAAAAGTGAAATCAGAAAGAAATGTTAGTAATTCTTGGAAGAAGCGATAAATATGTGTGTTTTTGGATAGTTATTAAAAGAGTCAAATAAAGGAAATGGCTAATGGATGTGACTTGACAGTAAGATGAGACAGAAATGTTAGATGGTATGTCTAGGAATGATACGTATTTCTGGGCCGGGATTGTTAAAGGAGTAAAAGTATGGAAATGGATGTCCTTTTTCTCAAAGTGAAGTGGGACAAAAATGTTAGAAAATGTTGGCAGAGGTAATAAACATATGTGTTTGGGTTGTAATGAAAAAAGCAAAACAAAATAAATGGCTATTATAAGTTGATTTTTGTTTGTAGGAGATAGTTTTGAAGTTGACCTCATTATTATTAACCTTGTGCAAGAAATCCTTAAACACAACATTTTTTGCATGTTGTGTCTACTGTCAGCATTAAAGTGTATGAGAACTTTAATGGAGTCTGGAGATTTAGCTCGAGACAAAGCAACATAAAGTTGACCATGTGTGAAAACCATATGTCTGGAGCATTGTGGATAAATTTAATACGAGGTATATATACTTGGTTCCCAATGCATGTTCCGGTAATGATAGTTGCAGCTGTTATATTTGGTAGCAACTGAGATACCATTAATCATGTACCATGTCACAATCCTTCCCTTTGGTTAATGTTTCTTAACAACATGATGGTGTGCCAATTTTGAGTGATACTTCATGAGGAGGTACGCTGACAAAGTTCAATTGATTCAAATATTCAACTGGATAGAAAGCTTCAAATTCTGCAGATTGAATTCCGTTTGACATGATGGCATCAACACTTTTGTAACATTTTGTTTCTCCAGGAGCAACCTTCAAAATAACTTTGTTTATTTTATATGTGGTAACATTTTTAGGATAGAAAATTGCCCTAACCGATAGAGTGGAGGCAGATGGATGTTTCAAAATCCCGTCTCCGTAAACAAAATGTATTCACTTTTCCAATGCCTTGTCTCCTAGGGGTATAAGAAGTGAGGATGGGATATCAATCCATTTTGTGTATCATCAATGGGATCTGGTTGGCCTATGTCTCCATCTCCATTAGTGATTAACCAAGCTGCATATTCTGAGATAGTGAAATCTAGCGTAGAGCATGAGTCATCATTTACCAATCTCATATTACGGGTAAGTTTGTGTATTTTAAAACATGGCCATAGGTATGAGTTTGGTAAAGTTAACCCTATGATTTGTGATGTGGTGCTTTTTGGGGAAATGGGTAATGTTTAACGAAAATCACCACCTAACAAAACAGACAGTCGACCAAAAGCTTTGGTTTCGCATTCTAGGATATCTTTCAATGAACGGTCTAAGCACTCAAAGCATCGCCTGTCACTCATTGGTGCCTTATCCCATATAAGAATTGATGTCTTCTTAATTAGTTCTGCAAGCGACGTCCCTTTTCTAATGTTACATGTTGTCTTGTCAGTGAAGTCAATGGGTATATTAAACCTTGAGTGAGCTGTCCTTTTGGATGGCAGTAGTAATGAAGCTATACCTGAAGCATCAACAGCAAGGGCAATTTTGCCAATGGAACGAAAATATGAAAGCAGTGCAGTCCAAAGGAAAGTTTTCCCAGTTCCACTGTGTCCATATACAAATATAATAACTTGTTTTGCCTGCTCATCTGATGCAATAACTGTGTTGTAAATGCAAATTGGGTCATCATTTAGTTGTGAAACCATCTGCTGATTATGATGTTTCAGTAACTCTTTGTCATAACTTGTTTCTTCCAAAAGAAGACGATTTTGCCAAAGCCTGATAGTGTCTTCCGTAGGTTTAGGAAAATGAAAATCTTGGACTGACTTTGATGGTGTACGTGTCTATAATATATTCTCCAATTCAAATAAGACTAATTGTTGTAACTGAGCATCAGTCATATTGAGGTTTGTGTTGGGGCTGTTTCTGTTTATGTTATATACTGAGTCATCGCTCATTTTGCGACATGCAGCCTCCCACAAAGACATGGGGTTACTTACCTCGCACAATAGAAGGAGCTGGAAGAATAAGGATCATAGATGAGGTGTGGTTGCCCATTCTGATGCTTGGCTGAATGCTGTCATCCACTCTTTGTCTTCACCGATTAATCCAAATGCCTCACATGCACTACGGAAGTCTGGGTAAAGTTGATTGGAGACAGTGCGAATGTATTGATAAGATTTGCATCCTGTTTGATGACACATGAAACAGTAACATCCGGAGGTAAAATAGCTCTCCAGCAGATAGGTGAATGAAGACAAGTCTGCTGATTGCAGGTGATTCCGTGCGGTGTCGGTTTTCCCACATTTTTGCTCCTTTATACCACCAATATTTTGAGGGATATTTGTTGTAGGTCAGGTCGTGTCTAGTGGTATCCCACTTGTTACTTTCAAACCACCCTAGTAACAAATTATTGCCAAATGCTGGATGCCTGATAACTTCACAAATGCGGGTGTTTTCTTTGAAATATACAGGCTGCGTATTTGGTAGATGCACTGGTAGTATTGTTACATGTGGGTGTCACTCATGGATGGGGAAGTCAAGGATACGCCAAGAAGCTTCGTGAGGACATATGTAACGACCATCAAGCTAACTACGAATTTCATCGATAACAACAGGTTCTATTGGTGTGCTACAACTGGCTGCATTTGCATCCTTGTGAATTACAAATTTCACTCGTTCCATTCCTTTGGAAACATACTTAAAAAGATATTTAATCATCATGTTCCAAACACAGTACTCAACATTGATATGTGCGTTGCAACGACTACATAAGCGCTTATTGTATGGTACAACGTACCGATTGTCAATTTCAATTCCATTATGAAGTGTATGCAGAGCTACAAGACTTCTTTTGTAATGTTCATATCCTTGCTTGTCAAACACCGTTGAATCACATAACGCCTTTGGATAATAGTTTGGTACAACAGTGGTTCAGAAACTGGGTTTGACATCTTTATGGTGATGAATTTGTCGATGGAAGCAGCATCGCATATTTTGTATGAATCGGCTACCCATAAAAGTGTGACAGTGGGGTAAACCACACTTTTGGAATTCGACTGTATACAAATCTAAAGAAATACAAAAAGGAACGCATGACTCATTAAAGAGATATGTAGCGGATACTATAACAGTAAAAATGTAATTACCGTCAAAGGTACTTACAGGCTGTGACGTCCCCAAAAGTTTTGTCCTCCTTTAGAAATGTAATCAACGCTTTCACCTTAACATAAAAATGTGAGATATAATGTCAGCCCTGTTGTGCGTGTCAGTTTGATTGTGATAAGCCATGTACCGTCTAATTTCAGGCCAATTGACATTGCACGTGAAGGTTATAAAGCACTATGGATTCCCATGCTCTCTGTAGATGGATAACACGTCTTGATAATGGATATACATGTAACAGGGTCCACCAACAAAGGAGGGTGGCAATAGAACCACTGACAGATCTACCCTTTGGTAAATGGGCTGTACGGCACCACTTGAGGTTGGCTCACCTTATATATATATATATATATATATATATATATATATATATGTAATTTTTTTTTCTATTTTATACTCATATGTCTCCAATGTCCCCACTTGATAAATGAGTGACACCTCTTATTTTTTCTCCTATACCATAAAAAAACAAATTTCTTCTCTTTTTATGATATCCTAGCTACTTGCTCCACAACTACCGGTTTGCACACCAAGAAAAGTAGCCTAAGACACCATCGACCAGTCGCCCGAAGCCGCTCCCACCGGCTGGATACGATATAGTGGACCCCGGTTAACTTTCGGTCTGGATCGGCCACTGAACAGGTCCCGCTTCCCAATAGAAAGACTTTTGTTGTCCGCTCTGGAAAGTGCATCATAAATCCTAACTGATGTATTCTGACCTGAGGCGATCCTGGTTATTTTGGAAATAGTCAAGACGTCCCGATGCAGGTATAAGCATCGAATATATATTGTTGAAATAGCCTACATGAATTTAATATAAGGGAGTGGACACCATTACATGCGTGGATCTGATAACTATAATACATATTTATGGTGAGATTTCTGGCCTTGGAGCCAGTTTCATTTAATAGTTTCAACCGTAGGACCAGCCATCTTCACCATAAGGAAAAAGTAAAGGGTATTGTAGTGCCATGTAGCTCGGGTGGAGCTTACTGACTCGTTGTGGAACACCGGACTTGGAATATATAATGATATCATACTTGTTAGCAACAGTGTCATCACTGTAAACAATGCAGCTTACACTTCCGGGAGCGGGGGGATCATATCGCCGATCAGGAACATCAATAAAAAGGCAAACTGCATACGAGTCTAGACTTCTTTCTGCAACTATTTCTTGGGCAATCTTGAAAGTACAAATATATTCATTTTGAGTGGTCAATGTATCCATTAGCAGCTGCACAATCTTTCCATCCAAGGGCTGTTTTGAGCTATCATAAAAAGCTGACAATCTATTGGAAACCTCATGTTCCGTGGTAACAACATAGAGTTATAAAAACCTAGGGGGCTTGTTATCTTCGGGACATAAAGAACCTATCCAATGTAAGACCTGACTAGTGACTTTGAAAACATAAGGATCACCACCCTTGTTAATGTCCTCATCAATTTCAGCCCCAAAGGATGTCATTGCAAACATGTTATTATAAGCTCTGATATTTTGCCTAAAAGCTGGAACAACATATAAATCATACAACACAGTAGGAGGCCTTAAAGGAAACGGTAGTATAACATCACCAGACTTACAACATCGGGTGTAACGTGGATAATTAACATGAGATAACGAAATTACCCGCTTAACAAACCAAAAAAGGCACCACAATATTCACA